ACAATGCTCTGTCGGCAAACAGGGCTCGCGTTCCGCAGAAATTCTAATTTTGCAAAAGACATGATCAATATACGCGTCGAATTTGCGACAGGTATGCATGATTTCGACTAATATAAAATAATACTGTAGCCCATTATATACGGAAATTGAGGAAACTTATCGAGATGATCGAGAAATTTATGGCGAACCGGGTAAGTAATCACGAATTTCGCGTGTAGTGGTGCAATTCTAATGCGCTATTGTGGTGCGCGATTCTGATGCTGAACGTGCTCGAAACAATTGAGGGGTCGCACTAAATGAGCAATTTCGTCGAATAACTTTATGCGTATGTGTCTTAAATCAGTTATAATATAATCTTTTTCATACAAATTTATCAAAGATGAAGACATTAAGATATCAAAAGGAATCGTAAAAGAATATCTTTAAGAAAAAAATACCCAATACAGTCATGTATTGCATACATAACTAGTAAATGATACCAATATTTAAACAAACGCGATCTCTTAATTGCTTCGAACAATTTGTATTTCGGTAGGCACAAACATGTAGAACTCGACATGCAAGAATTTAAACTACACTGAGAGAAAAAATTGCTAATTTTACTAAAATTTAGTGTCAGTCATATCCTTCTGTTGTTCTTTGATAAGAGAAAATAGTGGAATATGTATGAGATTATTATCATTAAATTACAATGAGAGAGAGAATCTACTAAAAAAAAGTGATTTTCCTAATAAAAATATAAAACATTTTTCTCTCAGTGTAAAAAAATCGCATTGATATTAAGAAATTTTGCAAATACCCGCCACCAACCAAATTATTAATTGTCATCTAAATTTCGACATAATTACTTTAAGTTTTCAATTTTTCTCACTCACCGAAACACCGATAACTCAAAGCCGGCCACGTCAGAGCCGCAGCTCTAGAAGAAAAAATACAGTTTCACTGATTAGACGCATGGATCAACGGCTTGACGGGAAAAATGCGCATAGATACGAGCGTGTTAAATCGCGATCGTTGTAAATCAACGCGCGACTACGTCCCAGTTTTTGATCGGTTCAGATAGTCGAACACGAAAGTACGGAAGATCTGTAAACCTACCTTCAAGCCGGCTCTGCTTGGCCCGAACCGGATCCTCCGGCACGGCATCCATCGAAACTGCATCCCCTCGGGAATTACATCCATCCATCCATCGTGTGACCGCAAGCTCTGGTGGATCTGAAACAAAAAGCAAGCTTCGGTTGTTGTGTGTTTCAATTAATTACGTGGATAAATGTATCGAGAATACGAGACTGTATATTTCTCCGTTAATCCCTTTCCAGTGACGACACGCTACTTTCAGAATGGCAACCAGGATCATTAGTGTCTCCCTCGATTTTTCTTCCCTCGAGATGCTCGAAAAAATCCCCAAAAATCACTGAAGTTTCCTTCTCACCCTTCTAGTTGAAGATCACATAATTGCTTTGTAAAAAATAAATTGCTAAGTATTTTATTTTATTTTTATTGTTTTTTCGACAAAAGTGCTCCGAGAAACGAGAATGGCCCTGGTTGCTCACATATGACCCTGGTTGCTCGGATGGTAAATTAATAAAAACAAAAAGTGGCATCCCAGCAACACAATGCATTGGATCGATATCAAACTTATAGCGAGGCCAACCGTTGGCCGACTAATATGTGCTGTTCAGGTAGCCACCCTTAAAAAATTCTAAAACGTTGCTCGAAATGATCCTAACACGACTATCGTGTGTAATATAACGTAATATTTATTGTGTGTATAATAATATATAATATATTATAATATATTTTATATAAGATATTATATATTATAATATATATTATAATACATATAATATTGTAATATATATGAGATATAATATATAATACGTAATTATAGTTAATATATAATAAATAATATACAACTAACGATTTCGTTTTTTGGGAAAACCGGGAATAACGACCTGATGTATATTTACTCTCATATCAAGGATCGTTGTGATTGTTCCCTCGTTGTTAATCCTAAGTGTATTGTTATTCCGAGGGTCATGTGACCTAGAGACCCTCAAACAGAAATTGGCCAATGGGGATCTCCACGTGATTAGCGCACGGGATTATGGCCCGAAAAATAGCGACACCAATACGAAGCTGTGCTCACCAGGCGCGAACGGGCATAAAATATGAATTGAGATATTGTCGCACTCTGCGAATGTATAGTTTATCGCTCAAATAATGATGATAAATAAAGATGTATACATGTATATCCTTTAAAATGTATAATGTAAATTTTTGAAAATATTACATATAGTCAATAATAATCACACGTTATATAATATCGAAAGAAATAAAAAACAACTAATCCTGAAATATTATTATTCAAGTAATATAATAAATAATTAGTTAAAAAATATATATATAAAATATATATAAATAAAATATATATAAAAATATATATAAAATAATATATATGTACTAAGTAATTTTAATATATAGAGATTACTTATTATTGTTATAAGTTATTTAAAGTTGTTATAAGTTTTATTTAAAGATACATAAATGTGTGCAAGTGTAATAGTTAACTGTTCATTTTACGTTATGTAATGTTAAATTTCGTAATTAAAATGATAAAATATCTCGTCATACAATTGATGTTGCACACGGAGAGAACGATTTGTTGAATTAAATAAACGTTTCTTTGGAATAATCCAAACATATTATTTGGTTGACACAACAAAAATATTTCTTTGGAATTTAGCCTCAAATAAATATTTTTGTTGCATCAAATAAAGTTTTGTTCGATCAAAAAATAAAAATAAAAAAATTCATTTGGATTATTCCAAAGAAATGTTTATTTGATTCAACCAAATCGTTCTCTCTGTGCAGGGGCCCGATTCTTAACGGTGTGCGAATGAGGTACGCATGCGAAAATCTACAGAATACGTAACGTGAACTATACATTTTCGCATGCGTATCTCATTCACATACCATCAAAAATCGAGCCCCAGGTCGATACACACGCACACATTTAATAGATCATGTACTCACTCACACATATCATTGCCGCCATTTTTCGGGCCAATGGCCAGTCTCTGTTTGAAAGTCTCTAATGTGACCTACAGCGTAACGAGACGTATTTAGAAACACATTACATTACGTTATTTACTCGCTTATTTACCGTATTCTCCAGATCGTGTAATGTTATTATTATCTATTATTTCATGATGATTAATTTTCATGGTTGAGACATACAAACTGTCAAGATCACTATCTTCGCGATGATATCTCGCGGTATAAGCAACGATATGAGCAATCACATAGAAAAGACAACTGCGTTAGCGTAATTGAATTTTCTGTTACTTGGGGATCAGATGAAAAACTCGGTTATAGGAGCAGAAAGATTCCTGTAGGAGGTTTCTACTCGGCCAATTGCTCTTCGTTATATCTCGAACGAATTTTAATGCAGCTAAACGTTCAGACGAATGTTTTCGCAGCAACGGAGGTATTATTTATTGTCGGCGAGTTTTTCGTCCGGATCCGGTCCAGTAAACTCGAACTGAAACCTTTTTTCCATGCAGCATTGCGGAGAAGGGACGACAATGAGTTTACACGGCGTTTTTAGTCTGGGATAATCCGATAATCTGATTTACCGTTCGATATCGCCGTCGCAATGATACTCAGCAACTGCATTTCCCAGCCTCGTGGTAAAGCTATAAGAGAGAATTCACATTTCGGCAGAGAAGCAGAAAAACAGAAGCCAATCAGACCTCGAATTGGTAGAAAAGCAAAAACTGTCGACTATCATCTGACCTCCAGCGCGAATTCCGATTGGCTTCTGCCTTTCTGTTTTCCACCTTTCAGAATACGAATTCTTCCTAATGCGCGCTATCTCGAGAAGCTTACGAAAAGATGAAAAAGTTTCGTTGGCGCACGCGGGCGTATCATTCCGCCTCTTTGAAGGCGCGAAGATTACAAAGCCGGCAGATATCTTTTCGAATTCGCGAGTGGCATTATCCGAGGGAGGCGGGAAGGCGCGAAGGATTCTTCGGACCTTCGCCTTCAATGCGACGGGGTGGAAGAAGTAGGTGAACTATTATGCGACCAACAATGCGGCAATCAAGCGGACTCCCCGCTATCTCGGCAAAAAGATGATATTCGGCTGTTCCGCGAGCTTGATCGCTGACATTTCGCCACGGCGAAACTGTGTGTCGCCTTAATGATTTATGGACGTCGGTGATACCATCGCGGTGTCGTCGCTTATTACGTTTCTTTTATGCGCGCTCATAACCTTTCGCATCACCACGGAACACGTGTGCCGGCATGATGTTTGCACAGTTACCGCGATGGCAGCTCTGTGTATACACAGGAGATGCCCGGCTACTGTCGCTCAACTCCGCGCGACGGACTTGGTAAACTTGAAACTTGACTTCTCTTTATCGCGAAACGAGATCCGAAACGTGATACGCGGCTAGACTTGCGCGGCCGGAAATGTTCATATCGATTATACCATGCTTTCAAGAACGGAGACGCGCGAATCGATGAAGGAAACTTGTCTCAATCGGGTCTCTGGCAGGAAATTTACTCTTGCAACACTATTTCAAAAATAAAAATGGCTCTGGGAAACTGCGGGAGGTAATAGACTTTCGTCGAATATTCGTTCAGAGGGAGGAGATTCGTTCTAAATTCTTTTTTTTTTTGTTATTGTATATCGTTCAACAAAAAGTTCATCTCCCTCGTGTAAAAATTACACACATATACACATATATATAGTATCGACCAATTTGAGTTTTGCAGAAAATAAAATTTCCAATAATAAAAAATCTATACTTTTATTACTTTAATATATTGCGTGTCGAAATAAATTAATATTGAATTGTGTTTCAAAAAAAATCAATTGACATATAAAAAATTATTATATTTTTCTCGCTTGACAAACTTTTTTTATAATTGTTTATGAGTTTGTAGAGCAGTCGAGAGACTGTTTCAGCTGCTTATCGAGCGTATTTTTTCAGATTTATCCGGCAGGGGCACGAAAAAATTTAGCGACGACTGCACGCTGGACAGTGAATGCGGTTTCGCGGGCTCCTATTGTGAACCCAAAAAGAAGAAGTGCGGCTGCAAGGAGGAATTCGAGGCCACGAACCATATCGATAAATGCGGACACGGTAAATTGCTATCCTTTCTGGCATCTCTTATATGAGATCTTTTTTTATTTTTTTTTCTTCACGATCGCATGTGCAAAATATGTGAAGATCTTGAGGGAATCTCGATTCATGGGGAGAAAATTGGAAGAGAAAGAAAGATGAAGGGAGGAAAAGGTATAGAGATAGAAAGCGATTGCTCCTCTTTTATGGAATTTTTCCATTTCTGGCCTGCAGCTACGTGGAATATCTTTAACATTAATAATAATAAAAAACATTGTTTAAAAGATAATAACTTGAAAACGCTGTTCTTTAACTGTGCACTGAGAAGAAAAATATCTAAAAAATACAAAATATTTATTTGGTGTGTACTAATAATATATTTAGTTAAATATAAATTCTTCTACACTTAGAATAAATTTTGCATATATTAGAATAAATTATTATAATATTTTATTTTACATAAACAATTGCTTTCGCGAAAAGCTGAAATTTTAAAGAAATATGTATTTTCTTTTTTGAAAAATATTTTATATTAGCACGATTCATATAAGTAAATGTATTTTTTACTAGTATCCACACCGAATAAAAGTACCAGGTATAGAAGTATGAAACCGGAATTTTTTTATACAAATAAGACGTCTGTTGTTCGAAAGTGATAAATAATACTTTATTCAAAATAATTTCCACTGTTTTGAACACATTTTTCCCACCTCTCTGGCAGTTTATGAATGCCGTGCCAAAAAAACTTTTCATCTTTTGAAGCGAACCAGTTATCTAGCCATTTTTCCACATTTTCATACGAATCGAAGCGTTGGTTAGCGAGAGCGTGTCCTAGCGATGCGAACAGGTGATAATCGGACGGAGCCAAGTCTGGAGAATAAGCCGCATGCGGTAGTAATTCCCAACTGAACGACTCGATCGTTTCCTTGACCCGTTTTGCTGTATGTGATGGGGCATTATCATGGAGCAAAATGACATTGTGTTGCCTTTTTGCATATTCTGGTCGTTTTTTAGTCAATGTTCGATTTAAATCGATCATTTGTTGTTGGTAGCGATTAGTATTGACGGTTTGACCAGGTTTCAGCAGTTCATAGTTCATAGTTCATAGTTCATAGTTCTTCGTTCCTCACGTCAAAATCACCACTTTTGAATTTTTTAAACCACTCGAAACACTGAGATTTACCAAGAGCATATTCACCGTAAGCTTCGACAAGCATTCGATGTGATTCTGCAGCAGTTTTCTTTAAATGATAACAGAAAATCAATGCTGTCCGCAAATCATAGTTAGTAGGCTCGAAACGTGACATGTTTAAGGTTATACAAAAATATACTAGAGAATGAAAGTTGGGGTTATGTTTGTTGACAATATTCGTCAGCTGTTAGGAGAATATAATAGCGCGGCAGTAGCGGTCTTACGGTCACTAAACTGAACGCTGGCACCATTTATAGGGAAATTCCGGTTTCATACTTCTACACCTGGTATGTTCTATTTCTTAGATATTTTTTTCTCTCAACATACTATATTGAAAATAGATCACTACGGAGATCTCTTTCTTCCTCTCTCCTTCTCTCGACAAAAATTATGAGCTTCTTATCGGCCTGCAGAATCGTTTCATTCGATGATCTCCACGTACATTTCACAGACCTGATATATATATTTTTTTCTTTTATAGTAAACGTTTGTAAAAAATATATATCTTTCCAGCGGCAAATGTAAACGAGTCTTGTTTCTTCCACGAGCAATGCGAGGCACGAGTCAGCCAAACGGAATGTCGCGACGGCCGTTGCATCTGCCTGTTCGAGAAGGTGCCGGAGACGAAACCCGATGGCGTAATAGTCTGCGTCGGTAAGGACCGATATCCTTGAGAAACCGAATATACGACAGCTCTAATGAAAATCCTGTCGTGCCATCATGCTTCGACACGAGACACGACGAGAATCAAAAGCGGGAGGGAATTAATGAATTCCTCCCCGCTTTCCTCGGCTTCGATGCTCTCGCGCATCTGGAGCATTTCGCTCGTGCGACAGAACATTAAAAAATAAGGATGAGAAGAGATATGGCAGCGACGCTGTAGTTTGCGTTCTTATTAATACTGCAGAAGACGTTTATTCGAAACTATAGAGACGCTTCAATGAGTGATCAGCACGAGAGAACTACAAATGGATAACTTAAGGGGGCAATACCGTTCTCTGGTCAAAAAAATTTTTCTTTTTTTACATTTTATTAAACTGTGTAATTTTAAAAATGTATTCCTACTTATTGCATGGAAAAATTCGAAAAATTGCATAAGTTACAGCCTATTATTCGAAGCGGAGCGCAAGTTAAATCCGTCGCTCACCGAGCCGTTTAAAATTTCGTCAAATATATGCGGTCCACGAGGGTCCTATGAGCCCTAAGTAACAAAAGAACGACTCGAGTGTTTGCTCTATGAGCCTAGAATCGCTGATTAGGTTAAAACTTACGTAAGTACTAAAAATATAAGCTTAAATAGTACCCGAAACTTTAAGCGCGTTTTTCTCAAAACGATTTTTCTCTAACTGGCGTGCACGATTTGAGACAAACTGCTGATCGACTTCTGGCTATACCTACATATTCAAAACATGTGCTATTTTCGTCCGAACCAGCGAAATTAAAATATATTAACTTTTTCTATTTATTTCCAATGAAAAACTGTCGATTTTTAAGACGTTTTTTTCAAATACCTACAACTTGCTGAAAAACGATCCGTTTTCAATATATCCGATTCCAACGATAACTGAATGCTCCTAGTTTAATAATCAAAAAGATTATTGTTGCCAAAAAGGCTTTCTTGTTTTACATTAACGAGTCATGAGATATCATGCGCGCTATGGAACAAAAACCGCTCATTTCACGTGTTTTTCAATAAGTTTTATATTTCTCAGCGTACATACTGATAAAAATTCTGACATATAAATAAAATATGTAGTATTTAGCGTACCAAGTTTCAAAATAATCGGCTGTGTAGTTTCAGAGGAAAAAATTCGCAAAAATAGCCTCCTTTTTCGGCCTCCTTTTTCGGCCGAGAAACGGTATTGCTCCCTTAATACACAAAAATATATAATATATATAAATATATAATATATAAGAATATATAATATATATAATAAAGAATATTCTTGTTTGGAGAATATTATTATTAACGTTTTAAAAATAAGAATAATGTTAAAATGAGATTATATGGCATTAAACGAAGATAAATTAGTTTTCAATCAAAACGAATATAATCAAAGTAACACAATTTATATTTAATTAAATTTTCTCAATAGTCTACAACAATATTGATATTATTGTTTATATATCAGAAAATAATTAATTTTACTATATTCGTTTTGATTGTAGTTAATAATAATAATATATATAACGCAGAATATTAATATTGTAATATTCTATGAAAAAATGATTGTATTAATTTGACTGTATTCGTCTTAATTGAAAACTGATTTACATTCGTTCAATGCCATATAATCTTCTTTTAACATTAATTTTTAAAATGTCAACAATAAAAATATTCTCCAAACAAGAATGTTCTTTTTTTTCGGGTACATACATATACTGGGAAAAAATTGTTTAGGTTAATAAGATTTCGCTTGAACGAACAAAATTCGTTCAAGCAAACGCTTAGTCGATCGAACGAATTGTATCGTTGCTGCGATGAGATATATATTAATTGATTGAATGATTGCGATTTGGTCAGTGATTATGTCAACGCAACTTATCGTTGCACTAATGCGTAATTTGTTCAATAGATACAATATTTCTCTGAAGTGACTACCGATTTTGCCGGTCCAGCTGCTTTTTTTCCCAGTGTATAAACAGGTTTTGAACTACAAGTGAGAGAAATGGACAAACAAGGGCCAAACGCGATTGTTGGTGCGGACGACAATCTCGCCGCAAAGTGAGAATATATTTTCGTCGCGTATTTTTTTTTGCGGGCACACATGAAACGAGATTTAAATGTATTACTTAGAATTACAAAAAATTACGTGCAAAAATGAATTTACATTCGATGGTTATTCATGGCGTTCGTGACGTGTGAAGGTGGCATAAGATTACGCCATTCAAATTAATTTTGCAGCCACTGCGGCGAAAGAGAGTTTCAGCACGGGGGTGCTTGAAAGGATAATCGGTAAAGAAATCAGTAGGTCAGTGAATATCAATGGGATTCCAAGAATAAGGAATCTGTGATCTCTTGATTTATGGCCTTAAACTTGAATGGGTCACAAGAAGTTTCGCTGTGAGATCAACTCTCGCGCGTACTAAGCTTTATTTTATACATGCACACAGTGTGCAAGATATTCAAAAGTATCGGTTTTCATTTCGGCGATCAGTAAAATTCCACAATAACGTTTCACCCTCTATTGGCCTTTTTTCACAGTTTTCGTTGAATAATTTCGCGGTAACTCTACGTGTTCAATTAAATCTCTAATGAAATTTGCTTGAGCGAAAACGTCTTCAAAAAGGACCGTCTTCGCACGGAAAAACAGTTCGATAGTTTAATCCGGGAGAGGCCACGTATCAATCATTTCTCCGTACTTTTTCGTTTTCTATTTATATCGTCTAATCTATTGACATTATCGTAATCTTCGTATCATATCTTTATTTTACGTAAATTTTTTTTTATGTTTTCTCGTATAGCATGGAGAAGTAGACGGCGTAGACGCGCTTATTTCTATGTGAAATTTTTTTACGTTTGTAACAGTCGCTCGATGTGCCGCCGAACGTCTATTGTCTTTTTGACATCGTAGTTGGACGCACGGTTCTCTCTTTTTTTAGTGAATCAATAAAATTCTCAACAGCACGCGTAATTGGAGTATATATTCTTGATTCAATAGCGATATTATTAAAATTAATATTTGAATTATTGAAACAATACATAATGTAATAGTTTTAATATTGCCATTGAATCAATAAAATTTATTTTCTATTTCTAAATTTATCAAATAAATGTTTAAGTTAAACAAAGCAAAACGAGAGAAGCAAAAAATTCTTATTTTATTTTATTAAACTAAAAGAATGTCATTTTTTACTAATGGAGTTAAAATAAAAATATTATGATTTTATTTTTAATATATTCACATATGTATAATAAGTTTAATATGTTTCCTAGACATATTAGATATAGAAATAGTAAAGAAAAAAAAAGAGAGGAAAAAGAAGAAATAGTGATATAATAAGATTATTTCCTTCAATTATTATGTTTCTTTTAATAATTAGATTGATAATTTATTAATTATTACTTAATTATTATACATATATGTGCTTAAATATATTTCGGTCGAAATGACCGGTACGCACTCACGTTGGTCCCGTTAACGCGCCCACTCCCGGGTTAACCCCGACCGAAATTGAAGTCCTGCTTAACCCCTCTGAATGGCAAAAAATGCACAAAATTAAGGTGACCAAACGTCCCGTTTCTCCCAGAACAGTCCTACTTTTTTACCCTTTATCCCGAATTTTTTCGAGTGTTATCCGGACATCTAACTGTCCCGGCTTATCTTGGTTCAGATAATTTTTCAAATTCTTTTTATAAAGAAAGACCTGCTCGTAGAAACTTATAGCTCTGACACATACAACAACTTTGTTTTTTTTCTTAATTTTAAATAAAAATAACAAGTTTTGTCATAGCAATAATTTCTATTTTTGCAGTATGTGGTAGGTCTTCGTTGTTGTCAAATTATTTTTTATATGTCTATAAATAAAAAAAAATATGATTTTCAGTGATTTTTCCCCTTCCCATCTCCCCCGCTCGACACATTTATGTCTCGGATTTGGAGCTGGGAAATCTGGTCATCGTAATAAAACGTCATTTGTATAAGTTCTAAAGAGAACAAAATAGTAAGTTAAATAAAATCCAAAGAGATTGGTATATACCGCGAGAAGAAAATATCTGGAAAATAAAAGATATTTATATATTCAGTGAGTATTAATAACACATTTGCTTAAACCTAAATTCTTTTCGTTTAAATAGAATAAACAATTGCTTTCATGGAAAGCAACGATTTTTAGAAAAAACATAGAGTGAGTTACATTTAACGTTAAATACTAAAATATCTTTTTTTTATAAAACTCCTAGAATAAAGAATAAATTGTGTGGTTGGGTGGTAAATATTGTAATCAATCAACTTTCTTCCAACCACACAATTTATCTCTTACATATTTTTCTCTAATACAAAAATAAAAAAAATTTAGAATATAACGTCAAACGACTCATATCTCATATTCTCCATATATGAAAGAAATTCTTTTTCACTGTAAAAATATGTATATTAGTACAAGTAAATATGTTATTAGAGTACTCATCGAATCAATATTTTTTACTTCTTAGATATTTTTTTCTCTCAGTGTAGACTTCAGAGGGTATCAAAGTGGCCGTTAAATGGAATATTCAGGTGAAAAGTGAGGTCAGAATTTCGATTCGTTCGCCAGTCGTTCGATTTTCAATCCCGTCGGCGCATGTCGAATTCAATTTACGAGCACCTGGTACTGCGGTGTCTTACGCGAGCCGACGGATCTGTTTTCAGCCGAGGTGAAGGAACCGACCAGCCTGCAGTACATAGACCCGGCGATGATCGGCGTTCTCGTTGGCATGGCACTGATGTTCATCATCATCTGCATCGTTCTTAGACTCTTCAGCAGGTGAGCGACGCGAGTACGCGATCGAGTATTACGTCTGCAATCGGCACGCGATACGTATTCGCGCGTCAAATGCAGCTGTGTTTCTCGATGTATGCATAAAATAAGCGTGTCCTGATTAAATTCGCAGGTTCGTTTAAGCGCCGCCGCCGCCGTCGATGTGTTAAAACGCTTTCGATCGTATTTCTCTCCCGCATGGCAACAGCCGCGAATAATTAAAAACGTAATTCGAGCTTACACGTATAAAAATAGAAATATAGTAAAATATTTACGAATTTAGCTTTCCGCCACTCGAGCCGGATATTTTGATACGCTTTACCGCTTTACACCGGGATATGGCATTGTTGATGAGCTTCACGTTCGTTAAAATAATCGCTTGTTTACTGAATGTTTCATAGAATGCAGCGCGGTTGAAATTTGTCTGGAAGTGTCACGGTATTGCGCGTCGTTGCGTATTTCCGTTACAGATAACCCCCGGCGTTATATTTTACGGTGTAATTTGTGACAGGAAGAGTGTTCGCGCATGGACCGCGTTTTAGTATTTGTAGGTCGACCTCGATTCTACGAGAAATGTCACGGCGTTTGTGTGTGATTGTGTACCGATATTCGCGATTCATTGTGTCGTGTATTCCGAAATTTGCGCGACTTGAAGCGAACATATCATGTTTTTTTTTTTAAAAGGAAGAAATAAAATTGTTATGAATTAAAAAATCTTAAAGCGTAAAAAATTCTCTCTCGTCTGCAGCAACAATTTTCAGGCCAACCAATTCTGTCGAATTTCAAAGAATCCTCGTGAAAAACGTGACTGTAACTTTATGTAAAAATTTTTTTTTATTTTTTCACTTCGACACTTTGAATAAATATACTGCTCCAATTCAAAATAAAATAAATAAAGATACTCATAGAAGAAAAAATATCGATTCAAGTTTTAAAATGTTTTAAAATTTAACTCTTCTGTCAAATTTTGAAACATTTGTGGAAAATGCAATTGTAATTTTATGTAAAAATTATTTTTTTTATTCCTTTGACATGTCGAGTAAATATATTATCTTTTATTAATTTGAAATGAAAAAAAGAAAGAGGTAAAGAGATATTTATAGGAAAAAAAAAGAAATAAAAGAATTTAAATTCTAATAGGCGTCTTCTAGTTGTAATTTTGAAAAAGAAAAGGAAATCAAATTGTTACGAATTAGAAAAATCTTTAAAACATAAAAAAATTTTTTTGTACGCAACAATTTTCAAACCCTCCTGTTGAGTTTCATAGAAATCCTCATGAAAAACGCGATTGTAATTTTATGTTAAAAGATTTTTCGAATTTGAGATAAAAGAAACAAAGCTATTTATAGAAAAAGAAAACGTCAAATCAAGTTTTAAAGTTTTAAAGTATTTTAAAACTTGACTCTCCCGTCAAATCACTCGTGAAAAACGCGACTGTAATTTTATGTTAAAAGATTCTTTCGATTTCTTTGACACTTCGACTTAATATACTGCCCTAATTCGAAATGAAAGAGAGACAGATAAAGATATTCATAAAAAAAGAAGAAAGAAAACCAAAGAATTGAAATTCTAATGAACGTGTCATCTCGTTGTGATTTGAAACCGCGTCGGGGAAACTTTTCCGTCGCGGAAAAAGATTTGATTATTGACGGCGAGCGCGTGGTACGGAAAAAACACTCGCACGTGAATTAAATTTTAATTTATTTCCGTCTCATGCGACGATGAAATTGCAGGGCCCGCTGGCGAGAGAATCGCACCATCTTCAACACACCGAACGCGCGTCTCATGAACGTCTCGCTACTGAGAGAGAACAAGCTCCTGCACGCTCAGGAGAGACGCGGCTCGAGAGCGAGCGTACGAGTCCCTTCGAGGCAACCCTCGATGGCGTCCTTGCGGGCCCACTCGCCGAACGCCTCGCAAGGTGCGAAACACTCTCACCACTCACAGCACAGAATGAGCCGTACGAGTTTTTCATTCACTTACTAAGCAAGCAACTTGTTATACAAAGTTCGAGTATATACATAGAAAAAGAGAGCAAGTGACTCTTCTGTTTGCTCCGCGGTATTTCCAACACAGTTCCATGAAAATCGATGAACTCGGAGAGTCTGATGAATCGCGTTCGAGTTCGAATCGACAAACGACACTCCAAATCCACTGATCAAATTGGAGACTCAAAATTAATGATAGTGACTCGAGATTATCGAGACAGAGATGGACGATCGTTTTTTTCTTTTATTTATTATTGAAGAATCGTTTAGCACCGAAGATTCATGGGGATCGCCTCTTGAAAAATATGTCAGTTTTCCGTCAATATCTGGAAATTGATAGTACGCGCCGCGTACACGGAGAGAATTTTACGGTAAGAGTTACTATAGAATTTTGTAATCGAGGAATAGATCGACGTTCTGTAGTAATTCACTGTATCCCTTCATTTAATGTGCTAGTTATATTTCAGGAACTGAAGTGTGCTATTAAAAAATGTGCTATGTCTCTAGCAAGTTACTTTTTACCGAAATTTGCTATGTTCCTTGGCAAGGTATACAATTACTGACAGTCTATTCCTGCGCTACTAGAGACATAGAAAAATCGAATAGAATTTACATGAAAAAAGCACCAATATTTTCTCCCCGTGTACGGGCAACGCAGCAGCAATTTCCACGGCAAATTTCTAATGCACGCGCTGTGTCAAGGCAATTTGCATATGATTCTTTTTCCCGACTTAATCGGGTTTTTGTAGATCTGAAGGGATCGGCATTTCCCCGAGCGCATTTGTTGCACGGTTCGCGTGTGGTCGTGTAATTTGATTAGATTACGTAAGCATCCATCATACTTTATCTATTGGGATTTCGTATGAAAAACGAGACCCTGGAGTGCATCGATTTTCAGAGAACCACGTATGTATGATACGTACGAGTATACGTGTGTAGGTAAATATTTGTCTACATAGAAAAAATGGACATTCTTGTGCGGAAAATAACCTTATTCTTGACATGTTAATCTTCAAATGAGTTTACATAGTGTTGAGCGAAAGTGAGTCACATGCAAGAAAATATTTTATATGATTTTCAAGTCGAAGGAAAACCTTAGCTTGTGCTTTTTTATTATACAAATATAATTTTCATTAAAGGAAAGCACAAAATATAGAATTGAGAATATAATGTTTTTAAATGTATATGTGTTATATTCTAAAAGTTCCTCTATCCACTTAAACTAATATATTAACAATTATTGTCTCATATATAATTTAGTTCGGAGAACATTAAACTTTTAAGTTTCAATAATGTTAAAAACTTCTTTATTTGGACATATTTTATAATAGTATAATATTATAATAATTGTGTATATTATAATAATCTCATAAGAAGTACAATATGATTATTTTGATGATAATGATATTTTCCTCCGACACTACAAAAAAAATCATATTTTCAATTCAATATTTTGTGCTTTCCATTAATGAAACTTATTTTTTAATAATAAAAGCACGGGTTTTTTCAAGCTCAATTATGAGATATATTCTGGCAAGTAACTTACCTTTATTTAACGTTATGTAATCTCATTTGAAGATTGACATGTCAAGAATAAAGACATTTGCCAAACAAGTGTGTTTTTCTTTTCTGTGTACCTGTCTGCCATCTACCTTTACGTAGGAGAGTTCTTTTTACGATCCTTAATGCAGAATCCTTCCGAACTTTACGCATGTACAGACGCCTGCCAGGAAGGTAGTTACTATCTTAGCGTTAACCGGAGCCGCGTAATCTCTCTGTCTGCATTAGGATGCATCGTTGCAATCGTTTTCGCGAGTAAATATCTTTGACCTAATACTTAATATTCTGGTCAAAACGCGAAAATGCCGTTGAAATATCGTTGGGAGTGTAAGTACGCCTAAGGGATTTTGTGATTATGAGAACAAAATAAATTTTACTTGGAAAAATAAACTTCGACGTTCAAGCATAATATTCTCTGCAATTTAGGTGAATTGAATTTTTTAAATGTATATAACAAGTAAATATTATACTACCAATAACGTATTCGCGTGGGATGCTACTTTCTTAAAATTTGTTTAAATTGAGAAAAACTACATGCGCGGATATTCGCTTAACGAATTATTCGCCCGAGCTTTCGCATTATAACGCGGCGATGCATCTTGATTTAGTCGGGAAATACTTTTTCTAACGAGCTCGACTCTCTTTGAAGCCCACATTTAAAAGTAGTTTGTCCTTAAAGATCCCGTCTCTCTATGACTATTGTTCCTGACTACACTGCCGAGTGAAACGCTCTATTGTAAAAAGTTTTCCACGCGACACGGTTTCTTAAGAGGGTAAACTCCGCTCTCTGCTAATCGTAAACCCGCATGAGGCTTGTTCTTCAGAGATAATCAGAATATTTGCAGACAAGTCGTGATCTACGCGTTTACAACTCGTATCATACAAGTCATAATTATACTTGCCCTCTTGAGAGCACGTCGTAGATTGGATTTAGATAACTTGTGAATTTTACTAGCAGAAATTGTTGGATATAGTTTACTGAAGTTCGTGAAATTATAGTTGCTTGCTACAGTAAAACATTGTTATTTGCATTCGCACGACGATTCGTTCATAGAGATCATTCCTCATCGATAATAATTAATATAGAGAAAAACAGTTCAATGAAAGAAAAACACATGATATTTCCAGAGGAAATAAGAGTATTCTGAATGCTCTTTTTTGTCTAGTTCCCTTTTTAGATTAATAAAGACAAGTCCGCAAAACCAACAATGCGAAAAAAGTCTGAATATAGATTTCACGCTCGATCTTTCCTTTATTGGACTCAAGTGCCTATAATCTCTTATTCCCTCTAACAAGAAGTACACGGAAAAAGAAGTTTGGTTGGCTTAACCGAATTTCTAATGAAATATGAAAGAAATATGAAAAGAATTCCGATTAAAGTTAATTGTTCCAGTTAACAAGATTTCTGACTAACTTAAACAGAATTTTTGTGACTTTAATTGAGATTTCCTGGTTCGTTCATATTCCACCAGAAATTTGGTTCAACCAACCAAACGTTTTTGTAGAGAATCGATAGCGCAATTTGTCCAAATTCGAGCTTGCAAAGGTGCACTTGCATTTGTGTGTTCACGTTTTCGCACCGAGTTCATGAACACGCCGAGGCAATCACTGAAACTTGCAATGATCTCATGAAGCGTTTATCGATCGGTTTAAACGGTAAGATTTAAGAGTATTCTCCTCTCTATCTCATCATCCCACACAGACACAAAAAATCGCGTACTTCTCGAGCTTGGTGCAGGTAATTTAAGTAATGCACTAGGACGAAGTTGCCTCGAGTTTCTCCGTGCAGCTTTTTATGCATTCTGCATAAATTTGTATCTTGAGAAAATCGCAGCATCTCGAGCGCGCATTATTAACATTACCTTCGCCCTTGAAACCAAAACATTGGCAAGATTCACGCGAGTACACGTATTTACCCAGTCCTGGAGATCAATCACAAATCGTTTCCTCTAGTATGAATTCGTGAAAAGTGAAAAATCTAACCTTGAAGATATATGAAAATGTTCACTTTTCGCGGGTTTACATTGGAGGGGAAGGTTTACGATTGTCTTCAAGTACTGCAAGATTATTCATTCTATATAATTTTGTATAAGAGAAAAAGATTATATAATTGATAAGTATGATCAAGTTCGTGTGAAAAGATTCATGATTAATGCCTTGGAGATCGTAGATCGCAATTAACAGACTTATTTCGATATTCCGTATTATATTCCAAAGAATAAAAAGCTCGCGCGCCAAGGAGGAAAGCCGCGCGCGCCATGTAATATTTTCAAGGAGGCGTGTTCTCACGATGTTTCGATTCAAGGGTTCCATACTTTCGCTGGGAGAAAGAACAGAGAAAGTATTTAGCATGCCGTGTACATACGTGACATACACACAAATACATACACACGCACAGGCACAGGCACCACACACTCATACATATCCGCTCTCACATTGTGACGATTGACTATTTTGCTCTGACTAATGCGTTTCTTTCGCGCAGGTCTTCATGCTTAAAGTTATTCTGGCTTTTCGTGTCGTGCTGCCGCGCTGTCGCGCCAAAGCACGCGATACTTTAGCAAGAAAATCTCTGTCGCCAGGGTCACGCGCAGGATCGCGACGTGGGAGTCGCGGTAGCAGCGGGAACGCTTCGGCCACCTCGGTGAAATCTAACAAATCGCCGAATCATACGAACAACGTCGCCGACCCGGTCCTGGAGAACGTCACCGTCGAGATTCTCGACGCGAAGACGTAGACTGATCGTCTTAGCGTCGCGACAAACGATCCAATCGGCATTCCCGTCTATCACTTAGCCTCGCGTAGCGAACACGTAGCGCCTCCGCGCGCGTGCAGATCGCCGTCCTAATAAATCCGCAGCTCGCGAATAATTGGCTGCCGTGTCCCGCTTTTCCGCTCGGCGCTTCGAGAGGAATGGAAATTTAACGTTCGCTAATGCAAATGTCATTGGAGGCGAGTGAGGCTCGCCCGGTTAAAGAGGCGCCGCCGACGACGACGACGACGGCGACACGTGTGTCGAGATCTCGACGAGGTCGGAGCGTGAATTGTGTCAGTGATTGGGATCGCCTAAAATGTCTGTTGCGCCGCTTTAATGACAAAAGCACTTGACGCTGGCACGGCATCAAGTGGCCAATCTGGTCGGACTAATTGCGAGCTGATCTTTCCAGCGTGTCCGCCTCCTTTTGATAACTCGATCGATCTCGCACCCGTTAGAACGCGACTCAACAACGACTGTCGGGACATTGACTCTAGACTAATCTCTCTTTCTCGCGCGCTACGCCGGTGAAACGTTTGATTGGTCATTCCGTCGCGACTCATGACGATCCAGTCGATCTATACTTTCAGATTTCGGCTAGATCTACAAGCGCTATCCTCGACTAAGGTGCTAGGCTGACGAGCCGTCTCAATGAACCACGGGAAGACATAGGTATACGCGCGAGATACTTGAGCCGCAGAGAGTATCCTGGAGAGGTTACTCTCTCTCTCTCTCTCTCTCTCTCTCTCTACCAAAGAACATCATTAGCATACACTTTAGCTGATCGGCGTGACTACACCCGTGAACCAAAGCGGCAGGAATGATCGTGAATCTCTTTACGCGAGAACGATGCGACGCATCGTCCGGCCATCAATCACTCGGCTTCTCGCTTCGTACTAACTGTCTCGATCATTTCAAGGTATTCCAAGCGCACTACATAACGCGACTATTGCGAAAGGCGACGGACAATTATCGAGGCTCACCCTCAACGTGAACACTTTTCGGACCAAGCGACCTCACCGCCGCACTCGATCGTTCTGTTCTCAACGGGGGCGCAGTCGTATACGTGATACGTATTGTAATTGCTACCATCATAAATGCCAATGTGTAATCAGGGTCGTGCGGAGAAGCGAAGCGCGGTGGACGTTCGCAGAGAGTGTCCCGCGATAGGAAGAGCACCGCAAACGGATTGCGCGTAATGACGCGAGAATTGTCGCGTCGACCTTGACAGTAACATCAAGAGCCTCCCCTGGAGAGTAATAATGTAAATTTCACGTAGATTTATTCGCAAGACCTCTCTCAATATCGCGAGAATTACTGAATCGAAAGCGAAACAAGGAGGAAAATGATGATCGCGATTTTAATCACGACAGATGACTTCACAAATTCATGAAATCACTCATCATGATTGAAGTCGTTCGGTCGGATATGTATATACTACGAAAACATGGATTCAAAATTTATTCAGTCGCGACAAGTGTGTGATTATAAATGAAAATAAAATTTGGAAGTAAAACTTATTAAATCGCGGCGAGCGATCAGAGGAATTTGTTCAGTCGCGACAAGTGATTGTATAAATTCACGAAATCGCGATAAGTGATTCAACAGTGATTTCAAGTCAATTTTTCGATGTGATATGCGTCCAGTATGTAAAACGAGCGTGTTACCGTCAGGGTTGAGAAAGCGATCGCGACGGAAGGCAGTGCAAAGCCAACAATTAATTTCCGTTGTCGAGAGAGGAACAGAGACACGATGATCGTTCTCCTCGCACTCTCCGCGAACAGATCATCACGTCGGGGACGACAGACGCGAAGACGATCATTCTTGATGTCGAGGAGGGGGAGGGGACAAGGGACGCGATGAGACGCGCAAGCCTTTTTCTCTGAAAGTTTTTTCTCGGCGCGACGCGACACGACGCGACGTGACGCGACGCCGCGTCGTCGAGGCGCGAAGGGACGACGCGATCGCGGGATCAATGATTCAATCAATTTACATCGAAAGCGACACTGCGACTCGATTGCCGCGACATGCCAACGCGAAAGGGACCAGAGAGGAGCGTTTGTTCCAAGTGCCACCTCGGGAGGAGGAGCAGGAGGAGTGCGAGAGGGTGAAAAGAGGAGTGACGAGGGCGCGTTGCCAGATTCACTAAGACGGTGCCACGCGGCGGCGATTAAGCGCATTCTGACCATACAATCGTAGTGCGTAGTTACTTAAAGATAATCGCATTAATTAGACGTTAATCGGCGCACGATTCTGTAGACCACGGCGAGTTTCCGCGAGACGCATGCGAGGTCCTCTCCCGCCTGGGGAGAGGACAGGTAGCGAATTTTTCCTTGGGGATCTGTCGGAGTTTCTCTCTGGAGGCTGTTCTCGCTTACATGCCGAGGAGTTTATCGTGACGTTCGTGTTAATGATCGGTAGAGGAAAAGGGAGCAAGAGAGAAGCGTGAAAGAGCTTAGGGGCTTATTTGCTTATTTCGAGGTGTTTTTCGTAAGATGTGCGTGTGTGAGTGCGCGCGCGTGTGAGTGTACGTGTGCGTGTATGCTGTGTATCACGTATCGTACCGGAAAACTCGTTGAAACCACATCATTGAGACTCGGGGAGCCGCGGGAAACTTGGTGGAATTTTATTCGAGCAATTCTGTTCGGATTGTTCTCGTTCTCTCTTTCCTCAGGAAAAAAATCAAGCTCGCGCTTTTCGCGGTGTTAGTTTCCGCCACGAGATGGTAAAAAGATCCGTGTGTGCGTGTATGTATGTGTACGCGGGCGCTTGAACCGCGCGCGTCACCGAATTGCGGGAGCGACGGCTTGGAAAATCGATGGAGAAACGTAGAACGACCAACGTAAAACGACGCATATAGATTCGTCGTAAGCATTGGTTTCCTACATCACGACGACACTGTGGGCGTCTCGCAGCCGCAACGTTTATCGTCTTCAAAAAAAAAAAAAAAAAGAAAGAAAAGTCCTTCCTTGAGAAGAAATTTTACTGAAAATCCACGGTGTATGTAACGTGAACTATGGATTTTCAATCAAACTTTCCTCGAGAAAGACATTTTGGGATGTAACCTTGACACTAGGTTCGCGCAGTTGACGGCGTTCACCGATTTTCATTCGTTGAAAAAAAAGTAAATAAATGTCATAGACTCGCGGGCCCGCAGACGACATCGGCAATGCTAATGCAAATAGCGGGCTTGGAAACCCTTGCTGCGGCTTTCCCCTCGTTAGCAATGAGATTAGTTAGGAAAGAGAGGGGTTGAAGAGAGCAACGGGGATATCGAGAGAGGACAGAAATCTAGCTCAACTGTCCAACCAGGCAATGTTGCAAAATGCATTTTGGAAAGCCAAACACAACAATAAAGCCTGATCTACACTATGCTCTTTGCTTCCTGTTTCTTTCTTTTTATCTCTTTCTGACTCAAACCTTAAGCTTTAAACCAGAAAAAGACAGAAGACAAGAAACAGAATGCAAAGAGCATATTGTAGATCAGACTTAAGTGCCGAAAGATGTCTTAAGGATATTCAGAAGACGTCTAAAAGAAGTGGCATGTCTCTAAGACATCTTTTGGTTCGTACTACCTGGAAGGCAGCACTAGCAACCCTTGCCTCTCCCGTGTTATTCCGTTTCCTTCAACCCCTCAGTCCCCTGCGACGCGTAGGCTGCGTTACACTTTGAATTTCGCATTCGCGGCGCGTCTTCGTCGCTACAAACGCTCTCTGCTGCTTCGTTAGAGATAGTGATAGCCCACGCAACACCACGTGACCGGCGAACGGGTCGATATCTTATCTATCGCATCTGCTCCGATCGAGAGATCCGCCAAGCCGGATGTACCTGGTGTCGCGTGGAAAGGAGCCTCTGTAGAGCGAGCGAGACAGTATTCTCACGTTTGTTACAAACGTGTTTCCGACACAGACATGCGACTTTACTATACGGATACCTTATCAATCGCACAAGAGTACGTTATATCTCAATATATCGAAAGCTTGCTATGTCCATGTATCACGGCAGAACCGCGAGATGGCATACAAGCGACGGTAGTCCAAGTACGATTATATCTCAGTAATTTAGTGCCTGCGCTGTCGCGTTCATAGTGATAGATCTCTAAATTTATCGACCGAGCACTTACGAAAACACGAAAAAAATACAGAGAGATACCTATATATATATACATATATAAATAAAAAAAATATATAAATATATATATATATATATATATATATATATATATACACACAAATTTACGCACGTATATATATCGCGCGAGATAATCTCGACATAAGTATCTAGATAAATGCGTACCTATACACACGATTATTAATGAAAGCTTGGCACACTATTTGCACCGTTAGTAGATTACTTCTAACGCCTAGCGATTGTCTCTCCACTCTGTGATCCGTGTGCAATACGTAGCCGCGATTACCTTCGCGAGCATTGTCGTGATTATTATTACCGTTATCATTACCGTCGCTTTACCGTTAGTTTTTGCTGTTCTACGATTATTATTATGATTACGATTATTATATATTATTATTACTCTCTCTCTGCTATTATATTGTAGTTATAGTTGCTGACGCCGTTATATGATTGCCCCCACGAGGAGCAAGCGACTCGCTTAGGTATCACGACCCCGCACCTGACATCCCCTGCGTTTTAAATTCGTCATTCTCACGGCACGTGTCTTACGACCACCCGGTTTTCACGTCCGGATCGAGGGAAACATCGTATTATTAGTCTCGTTACTATATCATTACTATTACCGCCGTAATTTTAACACAAAGAGACTACCGCGCGCGCGCGCGGCGAAGCGAAAGCGTCACCGTCGCCGTGCGGTTTCTCACCGAGGGATGCGTGCATGCGTGTGTGCGTGCGTGTATGAATTGACAAATTAGCGTGTAAGGTAGCAATTAATCGACCGGATAACACCGATCAATCGACGTGGTCGCGGCGCCGGCCCGATCCGGCAACGAAATTCGGGGAAGGTTTCCGTTACGGGATCGCGCGGGTTCCCGGCGACGTTCGCGTTGACGTATCGCCGCGTCTACGGCGAGCTGTCTAAGTTTCGTCTAAGTTCAAAAGACCCACGAGAGATCTATCGGAATCGCGTGGCGATCTACGGGGAATCTGGGACGAATCACGGCCCGTCGACGGGCGCGATGACGATAGAGGAAGGGAGTGAATCCTTTCTCGAGTTTTAGGGTAATCTAATTATATTATTGTTATATCACTATCACTATGATTACATTACTCGTAGAGGGTAGTTCGACGCTTCGACGATGCGGAGAAGTGCGCGTATTCTAAGTAACGTTCTACTCGATAATCACACTTGACGAGTGTAATACTCATGAGCAAGTTTCGCGCACAGACCTTTCTCCCTCCGCCCTTCAAGAAAAAGAAACAAACGCAGAAAATGAAAAAAAAAAAGAAGAAAAAGAAAGACGAGGAGAAGGAAGAGGAAACAAGACGTTCGGAACAAGCAGAGTGCCTATTCTCTAATCACTCGAAGACGCTCGCTCACTTTTGTAAGCCTCTCTCTCTATTATGTACAACTCTTAACAAGTAAGGAATTTTCAACAAGTCACGACCCGCATACTCTAAGATCAAATCTCTCGACAGGAGCTCGACGTTAATAAGAGCGTAACGACGTTTTCTTCAAAGCGTTAGATACTTCTTCGCGATACGTCGACGCGGTCTTGCCGCTCGTTCGTTTAGGAACTGATTTTATTTCGCGTAGCAAAGTCACAGTATACATATATACATATACAAATATATATATATATATATATATATATATATATATATATATATATATATATACACACACACACACACACACACACGCAACATTATGCGATATCGGCGAGTCTTGATTTGAATTGACCCCCTCCCCTTAGCCTTCCGGGAATTATGATTACTGATATTATTATATTCGTTGAACGCGTCTCCCGTAAACGGAAGAGTGAGAATCTAGCTGTCGCGGCTCGCATCGGAAGAGTGTTCGCATTATGCATTACCGCGTGCCAAACCCGATCCCCATCATAACTGAAGGCTAATCGACGAATCCGCGACGAGTCCACAATCGTCCCCGCGACGACCGGAACAACGGTGACTGGGATAGGGATGCGAGTATCTCGACGAACTTTTTCTCGCGACGCAAACCGACGACGCGGGCTAAACGGGATAGCAACGACGCCGTGATCCAAATATGGGGAAGTGTTTGGATCACCGCCGCGTTCCCCGGGAAAAACACTCCACGGACGTCGCGGGAGTGTCGAGCAAGATGCGCCCTCGTGTAATCCACAATCGTTCACCAAGTATTCTAGTCGCGATGAGGGAAGCGTATTCTCGAGAATCCACAGAGGAAGGAGAAAGGAAACACGAGGAATTAGCGGCACCCTATCACGCTGCGGAGCACGCGAAGTCTGGAGCAACTTTCGAATTGCCTTCGTTCGGTTCGCGCGCCTGAGAGCGCGGTCGACGTCGACGAGCCCGTAATCCGCGACGGAGGATGCGACGGACGATCGATGCACTTGGTGCGAGGATCGCGATCGACGGCAGCACGGTCTCTTGGCGATCTCGGGAAAGACGAAACAGACAAGAACGATCTCTCATCGGGCACATACGACGCTCCCGTCCACGAGTTTCTGATTTCAAGTACCTTGTACGAATTTTACGTATCTCCTCTCAGACTCAGCACGGATATATCGTCAACCACAAGTATACACACACACATATATATATTGTACTTCTATTTATATATATATATATATATATATATATATATATATATATATATATATACATACGTATACATATACGATAGATACTAATTACTACGCGCAATCGTGTATCCTTAAGCCGACGAGACACGTCGTTTCTTCTTACTATGTAACCGCGATAAGATCGAATCTAAGCGCTAAAAACTGCTTGCTCCCGAGAGACTATGCGGTATACGCGTATCAATATTCTACTATTAAGCTTCTGCGAGAGAAAAGAGAAAATTAAACGCTAAAGTTAAACGTATTACAAATATAATGCATAATATTCTCTGGTGGTATATACTTTACGCTTGTATATCTATTATATTGTCCACGAGATAGATAGGAAACCACTTTCTGTCTGTCTGTATTACCGTCGCTCGCACAGCAGACCGACGACGGTACTCACGACACATTGTGATCTAATCTTAGGGTATAGATTTTTCAATAATATGCGTTCAAACGACAAAAAAAAAGAAGAAAAGCAGAAAATAAAACAGACGATGAGTTCGGTATTCTTCGCATTAGATGCCGCGTGATTCGTCTCGGTCTGAACGACGTTGATGCGACATTCAGACAGGCCGAACGACTTGCGCGGCGAGTAAGTTTACGAGTAAGCTCTACGTATGATTACAACGCTGATTACACCGATAGCCTCTAAGGATACCTTACGTAGCGTGAATTTTTAGACCGAAGAACCCACTTTGCGAGACGCATCGTAGGTATCGTTGCAAGAAAAAAAAAAAGTTAAAAAGAAGAAAAAAACATTGGTACATATTGGTTAGTCACAGAGCGCTAGAGTATCCAACGATAGCGAGTATTTAGGAGACACTAGGTATGATGATTGGGTGCGGGTTGAAAAACAAACAAAAATGAAAAAAAAAGAGAGAGAAAGAACAAATATACATACGCGAGTCCCTCTTTCCAATTTTCAATATTTTATAAAATCCGGTATGTGAAAAAACGAAGGTGGATTATATATCGTCAAACTATGACCTACGTCGTAATTAACCTATACTGACTTTATTAGCGGCTTAGCGTATCCTGTAATCTTTATATATCATACTTTTCATATATTAGCTTACGACAATTAATGAGTAATCTATACCAAATGTATCTGAATCTCAATTATATTCTGACTCTTTAAATTCGTTTTAATAAAATCTTAATACACTGTACGCGTGTGAGTTGTATATTCATTCTAATTTCAAGTCATATACTGAGGGAGAAAAAATATCTAAAAAATAAAAGAAAATATTAAAATAGATACTAATAACACCAATAAAACAGTACTAATTACTGAGAGATGTTTTAAAGACATCCAAAAAATGTCTAAAAAAACAGAATGTCTTTTGGATTCCCTTAAGATATTTTCCAATAGATTGTGCTCTGTCTGGAATATTGACTTAAATCTCTCTCTCTCTCTCTCTCTCTCTCTCTCTCTCTCTCTCTCTCTCTCTC